CGTACGAAAGTGCATTTGTGCTACTCTGTGCTTTCCCATAGTTGTGCATATTTTAAGAATGGTATAATATTAGTGATTGTTACCTGTGTTACCTGAAAATCAGGGTGAGTTATTCACTGAGTACTCCAAGCATGCTTAGTAATTATTTTATTGATTACTTTAGATGCTGTTGATGATTCATGTTGATATTGAAAGTAATTCATGAGATAATTAAGGACGCTACGTCAAGTGTAATGATATTGGTCACAAGTCCTTTGATTGTAAACTGAATATCACATGTGGTTTTTGTCATAAAAAGGGACACAGTGAAAATCGCTGTTATGCGAAACAAAATAAGTCGTTCAATAATGCTAAAAATACTATATTAAGGTTAGATGCTGAACCTGTTGACAATAATACTAAATATTTTAAGAATGGATTGATCAATTAAAACCAATTAAAATGTATATTGATACTGGTAGTTCATGCACAAATATAATTAAAAGTGAAGCAGATAAGTTAAAATTAAGTGTAGATAAAACGAAAATAGTGTTAATTAAGGGTTACGGTAATTCTATAATTTCGTCGTTAGGAACAGTTACTTGTGAAATTAAGGTCGATAATGTTGAATGTACAGTGGTAGGTAGAATGTTTAAAAAACAACCGGAAGCAAAACTTATTAAAAACTAAAACTTTAAAAAGTTACATGGTGAAACTATTACAAATAAAACCTTAAAAATAAACTTATTAGCCCATCAAGATACACTTATACCGCCGAATTATCTGTGTAACGTGCCCATTACAAGTGCGTCAGATTATTTGGGTGAAGCTTTTGTCGATGCTAGTTTACGATTGAAGAAAAATCAAGAACACTGCATTCCAAAGGTTGTTTTAAATACTCAACGATCAAATACAGGTGAAAGAGTCATACCATTAATTAATCTGTCCGAACACAATATCTTACTAAAGAAAGGTCAACTTATTGCGAGAGGATGGACTCAAAAACAAAAACCAGTGACCGAAAAAGTTTTAAAAATCCAAGACAAGAATTGTCCAATGCTGCCTTTGGACGAAATAAAGCACGGCTATATTTCAAATATGGAAAGCAAGCAGCTAGTCGAATTAATTTAAGAATATAGATATTGTTTCTCCCTAGGCTACGAAAATATCGTTACACTTAGAACAGGTGATGAAATGAAAACATAATTAGAAGAAGACAGACCATTTACTTGTTGTCCATACAGAATGTCCCACAGTGAAAAAGAAAAAGTGGTTATTATTTATGGAGAGTTGCTTGAAAATGGCATTATTCGAGAATCTCAAACCGCGGTTCTCCATTAGTTCTAGTAAGGAAGAAGGATGGCACGGACCGATTGTGTATAGATTATAGAAAACTAAATAGTTTAACTGTTAAAGATTTATACCCTCTGCCACGTATAGATGACCAACTAGATAGGTTGCAAGGCAGCAAATACTTCACCAGTTTAGACTTGAAATCAGGATATCATCAGATACCGGTAGCCGAAGACAGTAAACATTTAACTGCTTTCGTAACTCCCGATGGATGTTTCGAATATAATTGAGTTTCATTTGTTTTGACCAATGCTCCAGCTGTATTTCAGAGAGTTATCAACAAAATTTTGCCGTCTACTTAGATGACATTTTAATTCACTCCGACAACGTGGAGAATGGTCTTAAAAATTTGAAGATAGTCCTAGATTTAGAAAATACTACAAATGGCGCAGTAAACGCCATCTGTAGCACGATGCTACATTTTAGGATTACGTATGCTCCAACAAGGTCCACTTGTGTGGATATCTACTTGTTGAAAACGAATCCCGGCGTAACCAACCTCAACGTGATAGGCACGTTAGCTTAATCGAATAAAATAATTCGAAGTGGTCTTCATTCTGTCGAAACTGCCAGACGCGGATCGCGATTTCGATCTTTTTGGATCTCTTCATTCTGTTTACGTTTTACTGCGCCATTTGTAGTGTTTTATAAAACGCACTGTTAAGACAGCAGGTAAAAGTTGGTCTGTGTTCCGTCGGTGCTGCCTGCGACGCGCTGATGAGATCAGTTTCGACAGAATGAAGACCACTTCGAATTATTTTACTCTTAGATTTATTGAGAAATGCTGACTTAACACTTAATCTTAGCAAATGTGCACTTCTAATGACATGTGTAACGTACCTTGGATTCGAAATTAGTTCTGAAGGTATTCAACCTGGTAAAGCAAAGGTTTTGACCATAAAGGAATTTAAAGTTCCGCATAATGTGCATGAAGTAAGACAATTTTAGGTCTAACGGGCTATTTCAGGCATTTTATTAAAGATATTAAAATGCTTGACCGCGAAAACAAAAAAAGGCAATAACTAGAGTTGGAAAGGTTACATCGAAAAATACATAAAATGTTGTATATCCTGTTTATATAATAAAAAACCGACTGGTCCCCAAGAAGGTTTTTTGCATCCTATTGAAAAAGTGGCTGTGCCATTTAGGTCCTTTTCCTAGGAGTAGACATGGCAAAAAATATATAATCACCTTAGTAGATGTGTGTACCAAATATATAATTTTAAGGTCGGTAAAGACAACAGCGACCAAATATGTAATTGTATTTTTGGTTGAAACATTTGCCACATATGGCTTACCAGCTAAATTAGTATGTGATCAAGGATCGAACTTTACTTCCAAACAATTTAAAGAATTTTGTACAGAAATGAACATTAAACCAATATTCTACGCAGTAGCTGCTCCACGAGCCAATGGTCAGAATGAGAGTTTCAACCGAACGATATTGAATGCCTTATTAACGTCTATTCCAGAGGATAATCGTTGGGGCGAACAGGTTTCTAAGGTACAGTTTTCTATTAGTAATCAAAACAACTGGCAAAACACCTTTTGAACTTCTGTACGGATACAAACCTAAAGGTGTTTTGATTTCCGTTTTAACACAAGAAATTGACGAAATACCTAAATTAAACGACGGTATTACACAACTGCGTGCTGAAGTTTTAACAAAAATAAGGAGAGAGCAAGAAAAGCAAAAACAACGGTACGACAGGAAAAGAAAGATGCCCAAACAATATAAAAAAGGTGACTTAGTGCTAATTGAAAAAACCGAAATTGCATCTAATACGAGCAGAAAACTTTTATCCAAATTTAGTGGTCCGATGGTAGTGTATGAAGTGTTACCAAATGATCGTTATATCGTGACGGATATGCAGGGTACTCATTGCATTACTCGGACGTCTAAGTATAAACGCATTGGTGTAGCAGTAGACAAAATGAAACCTTGGGTGCCATCAAGTGGCTTATCGGATTCCACAGACTCTGATAGTGGTGAAGACGGAGTTGAACTGTCTAACTTCAATGATAGCGAAAATGAGCAAGGTAGTGACTTCGGGACGCAGTAATTGCAGGATGGCCGAATGTAAGGGTTTTATTATTTCTATATGTGTGTAAATAAATAGTCGTTCAAAAAGTGAACGAAAAGATGTATATATATAGTAGTCGAAATGTATATTTCTTTCTACGTTAAGTTAAGCAGAGTTAGTTGGGATAGAATTTACTTAATTTGCCCATGTGTTTATACTTTATGCGGGGTGATCAGTCAAGGGGAGATCGAACCTCTCCGAGATGAAGAAATAAACAGGACCTGTTAAAGTTACATATGCGTAGAACTTACGAAAGTGCACTTGTGCTACTCTGTGTTTTCCCATAATTGTGCATATTTTAAGGATGTTATAATATTAGTGATTGTTACCTGTGTTACCTGCAAATCAGGATGAGTTATTCACTGAGTACTTTAAGCATGCTTAGTAATCATTTTATTGATTGTTTTATGTAAAAATGTTGTTGATGATTCATGTAGATATTGAAAGTAATTCATGAGATAATTAGGGACGCTACCTAGACTGTTAAGATGCGGTGAGTCGTTAATTGGGGTCTGAGAGCGCTGCGGTGCAATGGGGACTGTAGGCTGCGGTTGTACAGTTATCTAACCCATTAATGACCTCAGTCTAGTTTTTGACAGAAAGGTCTGCCTTGCAGAGGTAGTGCAGGAAGAGGGTGTTTGCCCTTTTCCAAGATCAGGTTTATATAGCATCATAAATGTAAAGCAGATGATTACAGTTAATTTGGCTGTGGTTAATGTATTAATTGTTTCTAGTTGACCTTATTGCAATATGACCTGTACAGTAAGATGCACGATAAATGCTGAGGGAAGGTATTCTTGAGTGCTCACACATGTTTGTCTATATTTGATAAAGGTGCCGTAAGGTGATATTGACAGTGAAATACCTGGGGATCATCTCTGTGATCGTATTGGCATCCTAAGTAAGTGATAGTTTGTTTTTATTTGTTGTGTATGACGATTAAGTGATTATGATTGGTTAAAGCAACTCTTAACCATCTTCCTGACTGATACTTTATATCTCAATATTGTCCAGGCCCCTGAGATGCTACGTTCATGATTTACGTAGTTTATGATATCTATTTGATATTCTGTTCAGAATCCTCTTCGAGATTATATGCTTTACCTAAGCTCCCTTACATATTCCACGTAGGTATTCAATCTTTTTATTCTATTTCTGTGTATAAAGAGGTTTTTCATACTTGTACTTTCGCATAATCCTTTTACTAACTTTCATTTTTACTTTGTTTACTAACCAAATGACGTCTGTCACTTCTGATTCCTCCGCAATTGCAATTTTATGATGAGTTTCTTCTGTAATTTAGGACCCAATTGTAATAAGTATTTTTTATCTTAGGTATTTTCCAACCTTATTACTTCGTTATTGGTAAGAATTAGTAAAAATAGAGAAGATGTTGGTGGCCGGTGCCGTGATGCCTGCGGAAGCCGTGTTGATGATCGGGGAGAAGCTTGTTTTGCTCCACGTGGTGTAAGAGCCGATCGAGAAGGATGGATTCAACTACTATACTCAACGAACTGAGCAGGCTGATGGGCCTGTAGCTTGAGGGAGAGCTGAGGGGCTTCCCTTTGTGGCTTTTTTTCATACCAAAAGGAAGTACTGAAGCCGCATGATGGTGTTTGTGACGTTGCACAGTGCGGTTATGTGCCTTGGCGGCAAGACTTTGAGGACTCCGTTTTGAATTTCGTCAGCGCCAGGGGCTTTCCTCTTTTTCAGAGAACGGATAGTATGGGAGAGTTCATGAGATGTGGTGTGTCTGAAATCGGAATTTAGAGGAATGAAGTTTTGGGAGACGGCTTGGTACGCTCGTGAATGTCGGCAAGGTCCGCTGGACTAGGTGGTGGAGAGCACTGGAGACAAAGAGTCTGCGAAGATTGCAGCCTCTTCTTCGTCTGAAGAATAGGTAGAGCCGTTCTGTTTTAGTGGCGGAAGACGGAGAGTTCTGTTACGATGAGAACACATCACTTTCCAAGTGCTTCGGGGGTGTGTTTCTGCCTGAGCAATACAATCATCGAACGATGCGTTGCGGAAATCAATGAGACGAGTTTTTAATTCTCGTTAAAGGGTGTTTAGTTTTGCAGGGTGTGCGGGGACGTGGTGTCTATTCCACAGACGTCGGACCTTGTTTTTCCTCTTAAGGAGGTCAAGAATGTCTGCGGGAGGGTTCTGTCTTTGGTGGGCGTGGGGCGCGAAGTAGTGGAGAACTTGATAGCGCTGTTAATCTCGTTTGAAAGGAGATTCACAGCTTCATCTAGTTCCTCTATTGTGTGAATTTGAATACAATTTTGGAAAATGTCTCAAGGGTGTAGATGTAGACAGTCTAACGAGGATGTTAGTTTTGGGGGGTTGTAAGTTGGACGGCCGATTTCGATTAGGACAGGAAAGTGGTCTGAACTAAGTTAACGTTCCTTGTGAGGAAGACGTCTAGGTTATCTGGAAGGTGATTGTGACAATCCGAGAAGTGCATGGGATCTGAGGGGGTTTCAATTGTGAAATCGAAGTTAAGAAAGTTAGCAAGAAGTATATGCCTTTTTTATTACTATATTGGCAGCCACAGTAGACGTGTTTGGCATTGAGGTCGCCTGTGACGATGGTAGAGACGTTTGGTAGGAGTAGAGGGGGAGGTTTGAAATTTGATCGAGGGGAGTATAACAAGATAATTCTAACAGGGCCGGAAGTTGAAATGATTTCAATGTCAACTGCAAGTGTCGGTAGCCAAAGAGATAGGCTTGTGTTACATAGAATTCTTAACGAGAATGACTACTCCGTCGCCGCTGGAATCTTCACGATCCCTTCTGTAGGCTGTGGAGTTCGGGACATAAAGCTTGAATTGGTGGGATAAGAAAGTTCGGTGATGCATGCAACACCGATTGATTTTTCCTCAAGCAAGTGTCCGAGTTCAGTCAATTTACCTCTAATGCCACGGGCATTCCAGATAACTAATGGAAGACTATTTGGGTGAGCTGTATTAGACATTAGTGGGTGGTTCGAAGATGGCAACTAAACTGGCTACCATTGCTTGGACGGTAGCCTGAATTTTATCCTGAAGGGACGAAGTTGCATCTGATGTTGTGGCGTTGGGGTTGGGTTGGGTTTGTGGGTGGAGTGTGGGGGGCTGCTCTCACGTTCCTTGCGTAAGACTTTTGGGGGATGTCTTTACGGGGTATTCTTTGAAGCAGCTGGGGTGGTGGTGGCGATAGGTGGCGCGGTGACTTCCTTTGTAGTTAGCGCAGGAAGGAGTGGTGTCTTTTTTGTCTTTCGCCTTGTATTTGGCTGAGACATGATTACGGTCGCAGAAGGAACACACCCACGCTGCTCGGCAGTAATTGGTGGTGTAAAAGAATTTCAGGCAATGGCGGCATTGGGAGACGTCTTTGTTTGCTCTCTTAGGCTCAACTTTGACGTTGAGCCCACAGATCTTGCCAAGCTCGAAGATTGCCTTAGACTTTTTGTCCGACCTGTCAAGGCGAACTGGCCAAACTTTGCCACCGTTGGACGTATGGTGGACACCACGGATAGCGAAACCTGGGTTGCGATAACTCGGACTATATGTCGTCCGTGGATACGGACTTGCATACTCCGCGAAGGGCAACGTGAAGGTCACTGTCTTGGCGGAGCTGGTTGGAGAATTCGATGTTTGTCTCGTCGAGGAGAGAAGAAAGGTAGCGAAATCCTCCACAGTGTTGGGGTACACTAATTTTACATTCCGGTTTTTTATTACCATTTTCTTGATCATTAAAGTTTAAACAAGCCTTATCTCTTTTGAAGCGAAATCAAGATTCTTTCCAAACTTTTTTTAAAGAACGTGCGCGTTTGGATCGCCTATTTTGAGGACTTTGCCAAAGTATGCCGGTGGTCGAACATACATAGAAAAATTTACACAAAAAGGTTGCTCCAGAGAAGTGCGAGACTGTTAATTTCGCTACTGGGAACAGCTGAGGGAGGTTCTATTGAACGAATTTTCCAAAAGGGTTAACAGCTACGATGCACACAGGCAATTGAATACACGAAAAAGAAATAAAGACGAAACACTTCATGAGAATCTTTATAAGATGTTAGAAGTTGGTGCGCAGGCTGATTTCGATGTGTTGTCGATCAATCAGTATATGATCAAAGGAATTGAAGATGATGAACTAAACAAAATAGTGCTGTGCGAAACCTACAGCAATTTAAAGAAAAGACGACCCAGTACGACGAAATAAACAAGAACAGAAAAGCTGGAAAGTTTGAAACAAGTTATAAAATACCGAATAGAATGAAAACAAAGGTCGAAAGAAAGGATTTTATTGAGAAAGGATCTCCAAATAAACGGTTACAATTGTGGAAAGAGAAACCACCTTAGTATGAATTGTCCCAACACGGCAAAGGGTGCCAAGTGTTTTAAATGTGGAACGTTCGAGCACAAAGAAGCTGAGTGTCGACAGAGAGAAAAAAATGTTGTTAATCGAAAGGAAAAGGGTGAGAAATTTCTCAAACGGCATGCAGTTTTGTTGTCTTCTAGATTCCGGAAGTGACGTAAGTTTAATTCGAGCCGACAATTAGGTGAAAATTGGCGCGCCGAAGATCAAATACGAAAAGCTACAGTTTCGTGGTATCGGAAACGGTGGTTGATTGCCGCTAGGCTCAACAATAGCGCAAAATTGCGTTGACGACGGTTGTTTTGACGCAAAACTTCATGTTGTCGGTGAGTCAACCATGAGTTACTATCTGCTTTTGGGTGGCGACTTTATCAATAAGGTGAACATAAACATTATTCGAGGACAAGTTACAATTTCGAGAGTTGTTGATGTTTGTGAAGTAAACTCCGTGAAATTAACGCTACAAGTGTATGTGAAACTGGTACGATTGATCTATCATACGTTCCAAACAACCAAATACGGGGTGCAGTCGAAAAGATCGTGACAAACTACGAGCTGAGAAAAAGACGTGAAACGGGAGTGACATTGAAGATTGCATTGTGTTACGAAACGCCGGTTCATCTTCCACCGCGTCGACTACCTTTTAAGGAGAGAAAAGTGTTGGTATGAGTAGCAATAATAGTTATTTTTTATATTGTCTGACAACACTGTAATATACTGTGAGCGTTAGTTAGTAAGTTCTAAGTTAAAATTCTATGTTTTATGTTTCCTGGTTTTTGCTTCTATTTTATGTTAATAAATTACTCAATTACTTTATAAACAACAGGTTATGGGCCCAGACCCGCTTTTTATCATCGTTTGCTTTGCAGTTTTAAAGAACGTGTATAAGTGGCACCTGATGAGTATAATTTTTTCGAGGTTAGAAGCGTTTTTTGGAGGGAAGTTTTTTTTTACTGTCGAAAAAAAGAAATATACACAAAATGATGGAGTCTGGTCAGTTAATCAAGTTTTCTGGAGAAAACTGGACTCTTTGGAAGTTCCAGGTACAAGTAGTGTTAAAGTCCAGAGGATTATGGGATGTAGTTTCAGGAATATGTTTAAAAACTAATGAAAATGCAGAAGAATGGGCGAAAAATGACGCTAAAGCACAGGAATTATTAGTAATTGAATGGAAGAGAAGCCTATGACACATATATTAGCATGCAAAACAGCGGCAGAAATGTGGCAGAAACTGAAAACTATATACAAACACCAGTCCCAAGTTAGCGTACACTTATTACAACAGAAGTTTTTCAGGTTAGAATACAAAGAAAGTAAAGTGGCTGAATTCATTTCTGAAATAGAAGAAATCCAAAGTAACTTGAAACAAATGGGTGAAGAAATTAGTGACAAGATGGTAATAACTAAAGTTTTAATGTCGCTGCCAGAACATTTAAGGCATTTTATTTCCGCTTGGGAGTCAACACCAAATCATAACCAAACTCTAACTGAACTTATGTCTCGATTGATGATAGAAGAAGAAAGAACTAAAAACAAAGAGCAGGTGACAGCTTTAAGTATGAGAAGTAAAAGTAGTCATGAACAGAAATCAATGAAATATTTTCAATGTGACAAAATGGGGCATATAAAAAGAAACTGCCCACAATTAAAACCAAACGAAGGCAGGAAAACGTGTTACTATTGTAGGAAAGATGGTCATGTTATGAAAGATTGCTGGTTTAAGAAGAAAAAGACGCAGAAGGTAATAAAAATGACAAAAAGCCATCAACGAATTCAACACAAGCATTTGTTGGAGTATCAAGTGTAACAAAATGCACAAATTTCAATGATTTGGTTGGGCATGCTCAGTTTATCAAAAACGAATGGTGGTTAGACAGTGGAGCCACTGATCACATGTGTTCCAGTATAGAAAAGTTTTTTGAATTGACCGAGTTAGAATATAACAGGCAAGTGAAAGTGGGAAATGGGTCACTATTGACAGTGAAAGGCATAGGTAAAGTAAAGGTAGAAGAATGGAATGGAAAAGAATGGCTTAAAACAGATTTAAATAACGAATTGTTTGTCCCAGATCTAGATGTGAATCTTTTTTCGTTGAGTAAAGCATTAGATAAAGGATTTGAAATGCATTCCAATAAAGAAAGGTGTGAATTTTTAGACAAAAATGGAATGATAAGGGCAGTAGCAAACAGAGAAGGGAGACTATTTAAGATGAATTTTAAAAATATTGAAATATTACAGTGTAACATAGCAGAAACTTTATCAGTATGGCACAGAAAGTTTGCTCATGTAAATTTTAATCAAGTTAAGAAGATTTTGAGAAAACATAATGTAAATTATAAAGAAAAAAATTATTTTTGTGAGGATTGCTTTAGCAGGGAAACAACACAGACTACCGTTCCCATCAAGTAAATCAAGGGCAAAGAAAACAGGCGAATTAATACATAGTGATCTGTGTGGTCCCTTTGAAGTGCCATCCTTAGGAGAGGCAAAATATTTTCTTATGTTGAAAGGTGATTTTTCTGGCTACAGATTTGTTTATTTTATAAAGAATAAATCGGAAACAAAAGAAAAGATAGAGAGTTTTATTCAATTGGTGAAAAATCAAACGGGGAACAAAGTATTAACTTTACGTACTGATAACGAATTAGAGTTTATAAACAAGGAACTGACAGCCATGACAGAACAAAAAGGAATACGCCATGAAAGGTCATGTATTTTTACTCCTGAACAGAATGGAAGAGCAGAAAGGGNCAATTGGTGAAAAATCAAACGGGAAACAAAGTATTAACTTTACGTACTGATAACGGATTAGAGTTTATAAACAAGGAACTGACAGCCATGACAGAACAAAAAGGAATACGCCATGAAAGGTCATGTATTTTTACTCCTGAACAGAATGGAAGAGCAGAAAGGAAGATGAGGACATTAGTGGAGGCAGCTAGAACACTTTCACATAGTAAACATTTGAATAAAATGCTATGGGCCGAAGCCGTTAATTCAGCTGTTTCCATTTTAAACAGAATTGGCAGCTGTCCTCAAAAAGATCAAACTCCATATAAACTTTGGAACGGAAAAGAGTGTAAAATACACTTTTTTAAAGAATTTGGGCTGAAGGTATCTGTACATGTACCTAAAGAAAAAAGATTAAAACTTGATCCAAAAAATAAAATTAGATTGTTTGTCGGTTATAGTGAGACTGTGAAAGGATATAGGATTTATTTTCCTAATAAAAATAGCGTAGAAATACACAGAGATGTGATTTTTATACCTGAAGAATCAATACTGAAGAATGAGGATAACACAGAAGAAAAAGAACAAATAGTTTCGTTAGACTTAGAGAGAGAAGAGAATGAACAAGAACAGGATAATTTAGAGGTGGCAGCTGAGATGAGAAATCATGTAGATAATATAAGCAACTTATCGGATGGAGATGATAATGATGTAGTAGAAAATCGACAGATAGAAAGAAGTAGAAGAGAAACAAGAGGACTGATTTGGACAAAAGATTACATAATGAATACAGATATGGGTTTCTTTACAGCTATTGAGGATCCGATTTCGTACGAAGAGGC